TTTCTTCTAATGAATTACCTGCGCGACCAACAGACCGTGGAATAGTCTGTGGAAATTGTCACGGCCCGTTTACCCTACCGTAGAAGTAATTCGGAGAGAAGACTTACCTGGGAAAGATGATGTTCCGTAAATCCCCCATAAGGAGGTTTACGGTCCGTGAGATAGCCCATATATAACATTTTTGCCTTGTTCAGTTTTACCTCAATTTCACGGTAGGTATACAGAGTTCATATACATTATTACTACGAGCCATGAACCTTTTGTTTTGTTGTTTTCCAGTAGCTTCCATTGTTTGATATTCACTTAGAAAGACCATGAAGTTACCCGTAGAGGCTGCCGCGATCCGTGAAGCCTCCCATCAGATAAATACTGCACCAGCTCTTCTGCACTTTCATATTAAGTCTTCCTGCACATGTCAAAACTATTAACTCTTCACACTAAACTAACACAAAAAAAGTACCTAAATTAAGAAATCTTGGGTTGCCTCCGAAGCAGCGCACAATTTAACATCGCGGCGCGACACAAGTTTCTTGATTACTTAGAGTTCCCCAAGCATGCATTCTTCCACTATCTTGGTTTCATCCTGGGCACCTATATATGCTTTGATTTATTCTCCGTTAGCTTTGAACCTCTCGCCTTTATCATTTTCCAGTTCAACTGCTCCCGATTGAAATACTTGAGTGACCTTAAAAGGGCTAGACCATTTAGATCTTAATTCTTCTGGGAATAATCACAATCTAGAGTTAAACAGTAACATGAAGTCCCCAGGAGAGAAACTTCATTTCTCAATGTATTTATCATGATATTGCTTCATCCTCTCCATAAACAATGTTGATCTCTCATATGCTCTCAGAAGAAATTCATCCATCTCATTTATCTGAGCTAGACTTAAATTTGTTGTTTCATTCTAGTCGAGATTTAGCTTCTTCAATGCCTAGAGTGCTCTATGTTCCAGTTCAACAGGCAAGTGCCATGTTTTTCCAAACACAAATTGATATGGAGACATACCAATAGGTGTTTTAAAAGCTATACAGTATTCCCACAATGCATCATCTAGCTTCTTTCCCGGTCTGTTCTATTAGCATTTACCGATTTAGCCAAAGTTGCTTTGATCTCTCTATTAGACACTTCCACTTGGCTTCTAGTTTGTGGGTGACATAGTGTAACTACCTTATGCTGTATCACCCCATAATTGGTCAGGAGAGCACTGAATATTTTGTTGCAAAAAATGAGAACCACCATTACTAAGAATAGCTCTAGGTGTCCCAAATCTTGAAAAAATGTTCTTCTTTAAGAATGCTGCCACACTCTTTCCATCATTTCAGGTAATTCTACAGCTTCTACCCATTTGGATACATAGTCCACTGCTACTACGATATACTTCTGTCCATAGGAACTCACAAAGGGGCCTATGAAATCGATTCCCCACACATCAAAAAGTTCTACCTCCAAAATTGGTGTCATAGGCAACTCATGACGTCTTGATATGGATCCTTGCCTTAGCCAAATATCACAACTTCTTACCAACTCAGCTGCATCCTGTTGAAAAGTTGGCAAGTAATACCCACACTAGAAAATCTTATGAATTGTGTGAGCTCCACCATGGTGCCCACCTCTAGGCAAATGAAATTGATGAATCCAATTTTAACCGCCCACATCCTCATCTTTTGAAAAAAGGATTTTGGTACGGACTTTAGCAATTATGGTCGAGCCCCGGTAACAGGTTTACTACATTTCTAAGGCTATATGAGAAGTCAGACCGCTTGTAGTTCGATATGCTTGATTTAACGCACGATTATTAAAGACTTTAAAAGCTATCCTTATATTGAATTATGAAGAGAACGGAATGCTCGAGAATAATATTTAAGAAAAGGTATCGGAATACAACCGAGTTTTCAACATGGAACCCGCCTACATATCCTTAAACCTAAGGAATCAGGTTGTTTGTAGTTCGACTTGATCAGTTGAAATGGAAATCTATTATGCAAGATAACTTTTGGTTTTGGAGGAGTGAAAAATAAAACGAGTGTGGAAAATAGGCTTGCAACCTCCTAGCCATGAATGTGGAGCTCTTCACATCGATAAGTAAGAACTTACATGGACATAATTTCCAAGGTTCGTGGTGCGCTGTCACTCAGATTAGAAAGTTGCCTCTGGTGGATGCGAAATTGAAATAGATGAACTAAAAGAAAAACCCACACGTCTTTTGATGGGGGTGTGGTTTGATTGTGGTGGAAGTTGCTCCTCAGCTCGCGTCCTAAGAGTTTGACACTCCTCTTTGGACTATATCCCAGTTCGCTGCGAAGAAAAAAGTTCCACGTTGTGCTGCATCCCTTTTGATGTCGTCCGCACCATGTTGGAACTTAATTTTTCTCCTTGAATATTTTACGTTAACTTCTATCAGTTTGGCATAATTCAAATAAAACATGTATCTCATATTTGCGACATGACTGTTCATTGTACTCTTCTTTTAGTATAGCAGTGGTGAAAAATAGACTAATGTTTCTTGATGGTTGAATATGATAGCCCTCTTGGCAGTTTAATATGAATGACTCTCTTGAATTTTTAGTATGATGGCCCTATTGGCTTTTGAATATGATGGCCCTCTCGGCAATTTAGTATGAATGGCCTTCTCGGCAGTTTGAATATGAATGGCCTTCTCGGCAGTTTGAATATGAATGGCCTTCTCGGTAGTTTGAATATAAATGGCCCTCTCAGCAGTTTGAATATGAATGGCCATCTCGGCATTTGAATACAATGGCCTTCTTAGCATTTGAATATGAATGGCCCTCTCGGCGTTTGAATACAATGACCTTCTTGGCATTTGAATATGAATGGCCCTCTCGACAGTTTGAATATGAATGGCCCTCTCGGCGTTTGAATATGATGGCCCGCTTGGCTTTTGAATATGATGGCCCTCTCGGTAATTTAATATGAATGGCCTTCTCGGCCAGTTTAAATATGAATGGTCATCTCGGCAGTTTGAATATGAATGGACCTCTCGGCATCTTGAATATGAATGGCCCTCTCGGCAGTTTGAATATGAATGGCCCTCTCGGCAATTTAATATGAATGGCCTTCTCAGCAGTTTGAATATGCATGACCCTCTCGATAGTTTTAATATGAATGGACCTCTCGGCGTTTGAATACAATGGCCTTCTTGGCATTTGAATATGAATGTCCCTCTCGGCAGTTTGAATATAAATGGCCCTCTTGGCTTTTGAATATGATGGCCCTGTCGGCAATTTAATATGAATGGCCTTCTCGACAGTTTGAATATGAATGGCCTTCTTGGTAGTTTGAATATTTATGGCCTTCTTGGCATTTGAATATGAATGGCCCTCTCGGCATTTGAATACAATGGTCTTCTTAGTATTTTAATATGAATGGCCCTCTCGGCAGTTTGAATATGATTGGTCCTCTCGGCGTTTGAATACAATGGATTTGACTGTGAATGTTGTATTCTTTGGTCAAGTAGATATGTTTCACTCATAATCAGATATTTGCTGATAGGCTCTCCCAAAATAGTTTGTTGATAAATATATTATCTTTGATGATCTTATTTATTCTTGCATCCACAAAAACAATGTTAGTTTTAGAACACTAATCTGTGTTGATTTGTTTCAATCGTCTTGCTTCTTATCTTGCTATCTTTGGAAGTTTAGTTGACCCTACGAATTGCTATAGACAAAAGACAAGATCATAATTAAATTAAAACACTTGTTATGTATGAAGTTTTTAGAAACATAGCTTTAAAGAAAATCTCTACCAATTAATTGTCACGACATGCACGACCCAAACAAAACCCTTTGTCTCAGATTCTGTCATGATAGGTATCTTGTTGGAATTTCAGAACTCCTTGTAAATATGTCATATTGAAGTACTTGAAGTTGACTCTGACGTTCTGAGTACCCTTGATGATACTTTTGAGGCCTTCCTAAAAAATTTTGTCCTAGTTAAATGTTTTAAAAGAACTTTGATGGTAATCACGAAGATCATGATATCTTGCAATTTCTGGATATTTCCTCAAAATCATACCCTAATCGGATATTTTGATATGATCTTTGACCCTTGTTTATATGAAAGAACTCTTCGTGCAGAATTTTTGAGATCCTCTCAAAAATTCTGTCCCAGTTTCCATTATGAAGGGAAATGGAAATCTTATTGGGAATATGACTGAACCCTTGTGGCACCTACGTATCCCGTTGAGGCAGGAATCAGGTCAAACATAGTTCCCCTATCAATGGTTAACATGAATAAGAAATTTTGATAAGAAAACGACCGAGGCCGACATAGGCCGCCTACGTATCTCATTTTTGAGAATTCAGGTCGAACGTAGTTCAAGTACAAAAGGAATGTCCCAAAGATTAATGTGACAATGATTACGAACAATTTACGATTACAAGGAAATAAAGGCACGAAATAACATTCTTCAAATGTAATATCTCTTGACGGCATCTGAATTGATAGCTTTTCTCCATATTCTACCGTCCATCTCTGCTAGGACCAAACCTCCTCTTGACAGTACTTTATGGACAACATACGGTCCTTGCCAGTTAGGTTCAAATTTCCCTTTATATTCCTCTTGATGAGGGAAAATGCGCTTTAACACCAATTGACCTACCTCAAATGTTCGAACTCTTACTTTCTTGTTGAAAGCACGAATCATTCTATGTTGATACAACTGGCCATGACAAAGGACACTCATTCTTTTCTCACCAATCAATGTTAACTGCTCATATCGATCACGAACCCATTAGGCATCGCTCAATCCAGCTTCCTCAATAATCCTCAAAGACGGTATCTCAACTTCAGCCGGTATCATTGCCTATGTTCCGTATACTAACAAATACGGAGTTGCTCCAGTTGAAGTTCGAATTGTGGTGTGATAACCTAGCAAGGCATAAGGAAAATTTTCATGCCAACATTTGTAGTTGTCAATCATCTTTCTCAAATATCCTCTTGATGTTCTTATTGGCAGCTTCCACAGCTCCATTCATTTAAGGACGATATACAGTTGAATTACGGTTGGTAATTTTGAATTGTTCCCATATCTCTTTCATTAAGTGACTATTAATATTTGCACCATTGTCCATGATGAGAGACTCACGAACTCCAAAATGACATATCAAATTATTGCGAACAAAATCAATCAAAACTTTCTTCGTCACAACTTTATAGGAAGCATCTTCGACCCACTTCATGAAATAATCAATGGCGACCAAAATAAACCTATGATCATTGGAGGCAACAGGCTCAATTGGTCCAATAACATCCATGCCCCATGCTGCAAATGGCCAAGGAGAACTTATTGCATTGAGCTTGTGAGGAGGTACTTTGATCAGATCTCCTTGTACGTGACATTTATGACATCTTTGGACAAATCGAGCACAATCATTTTCCATAGTCATCTAGAAGTATCCTGCCCTTAAGGTTTTCTTTGCTAATATAAACCCATTCATATGCGTCCCACACACTCCAGCGTGCACTTCTTCAAGCAATTTTGTGGCTTCTACAGCATCCACACATCGTAGTAATCCCAGATCAGGAGTTCTCCAATAAAGAATCTCCCCATTCAAAAAGAAATTGTTTGTCATTCTTTGAATTGTTTTCTTTTGGCTACTTGTTGCTTTTTCAGGGTATTCGCCAGCTTCTAAGTACCTTTTCACATTGATATACCATGGATTTCCATCCGATTCCTTTTCCACATGTAAACAATGCGCTGGTTGTTCTTTTAAACCTATCTCAAGTGGGTCAATGTAACTCTTTTCTGGGTGTTGTATCATAGAGGATATGGTTGCGAGAGCATCAGCAAACTCGTTTTGTATTCTTGGGGTGTGTCTGAACTCGGTCTTCCTAAATCTTTTACATAACTTCCGTACCATTTGTACGTAAGGTAAGATTTTAGGATTCTTCACGGCCCATTCTCCTTGAACTTGATTAATCAACAAGTCTGAATCACCAATTATCAGTAATTCTTGAATGTTCATGTCAAGAGCCATTCTGATGCCAAGAATACAAGCTTCGTACTCAGCCATGTTATTAGTGCATCAAAATCTAAGCTTCGCTGTTGCTGGAAAATGTTGTCCTGATTCACATATCAATACTGCTCCAGTTCCTAATCCTCTAGAGTTAAGTGCTCCATCAAAGAACATTCTCCAACCAGGATATGATTCTGATATGTCTTCCCTTACAAACAATACTTCTTCATCAGGGAAATACGTTTTAAGTGGTTCATATCCTTCGTTTTCAGCAAGGTGATCGGCCAAGGCTTGGCCCTTGATTGCTTTCTGAGTCATGTATACAATGTCAAACTCACTCAACAACATTTTCCATTTTGCTAGCTTTCCTGTGGGCATTGCCTTCTAAAATATGTACTTGAGTAGGTCCATTATTGAAATAAGATTTGTTGTATAAGCCGACAGATAATGTCTCAATTTTTTAGCAACCCAAGTCAAAGCACAACAAGTTCTCTCTAACAGGGTATAACAAGCCTCATACGATGTGAACTTCTTGCTCAAGTAGTATATAGCTCTCTCCTTTCTTCCAGTTTCATCATGTTGTCCCAACACACACCCAAATGCATTGTCAGAGATGGATAAATACAATAACAAAGGACTACCCGTGCGTGGTGGCACCAATACTGGCGGATTTGAAAGGTAACTTTTGATAGTGTCAAAAGCCTTCTGTCATTCTTCGGTACACTTGGTTGGCGCATTCTTTCATAACAACTTGAATATGGGTTCACAGATCACCGTTGATTAGGCTATGAATCGACTGATGTAATTCAGTCTCCCCAGAAAACTCATTACTTCCTTCTTAGTCTTTGGAGGAGGCAAGTCTTGAATTGTCTTGATCTTGGAAGGATCAAGCTCGATACCTCTTCTACTAACTATGAAACCGAGTAACTTCCCTGCAGGTACTCCAAATGCACATTTGGCTGGGTTCAACTTCAAATCATACCTACGTAACCTGTCACAAAACTTTTCCAAGTGTGTCAGATGATCTGAACTCTCGTGGGATTTTATGATGACATCGTCCACATACACCTCAATTTCTTTATGGAACATATCATGGAATATGGTGGTCATAGCTCTCATGTAAGTGGCTCCAGCATTCTTGAGGCCGAAAGACATCACTCAATAATGGTAGACTCCCCAAGGGGTGATGAATGTTGTTTTCTCTGCATCTTCTTCATCCATTAAGATCTGGGGTATCTCGCAAAACAATCCACGAAAGATTGCAACTCATGCTTAGCACAATTATCAACGACTATATGGATGTTTGGCAACGGGAAATTGTCTTTTGGACTTGCTTTGTTGAGATCCCGATAATCCATGCATATCCTAATCCTTCCATCTTTCGTCGCTACTGGAACAATGTTAGACAACCAAGTGGGATACTTAGTCACTTCGACAACCTTCTATTCGATCTGCTTCATGACCTCTTTCTTTATTCTTAAACTCAGATCAGGTTTGAACTTTCTGGTTTTCTGCTTTACCGGACAATACTCTGAGTTGATAGGCAACCTATGGGAAACAATATCAGTGCTTAATCCTGGCTTATCATCTTAAGACCAGGCAAACACATCGATGTATTGTTTGAGCAGCTCGACCAATTTTTCCTTTTGTATTGTTGTAAAATGGATACTGACTCGGGTTTCTCTAACCGACTCGTCATCTCCTAAGTTGACTATCTCTGTCTCAACCAAGTTGGGATTTTTATTATCTGCAAAGTTCATCAAGTCGTCAGTAAGGTGTTCAGGCATCATAGTTTCCTCATTTTATTCTTCACATTCATCTTCATTGACTTTACTTAGTTCACCGTGTTCGTGACATGTCATGACATTGGCAAGTTTAGATTCATTTTTAATGAAAAGAAAATAAAGCAATCATGTTAGATTGAAAGAATTTAAATGTATATATTAGAAAGTAATTTGCAAAGGCAATATAAAAAATAAATGAGGCTTTTCATTGGAAAAAGGCTTACAAACTTTGATCATGACTCATGTCAACGTGAGTCATTTCCTTTTTAAACATTACGATGAAAATAAAGTGACATAAAAGGTTGTTTCGGGCCTCATCCGAACTACACCGATTTTCAAAAGTAAAACTTCAAATCTTGTCTTGTCTACCAAGCAATTCGATGAATCATAAGTGGAGTGGCCACCTAATTCTGTAGCATCTCTTCAGGTTTGGCATCTCGAATGGTGGGTGTCGCAGTGCATTCTTCAAAGATCACAGCACAATCTCCTTCATCAAACAATCGTCCCATCCCTTCCACTAGACCATCACTCTCGGACTCTAAATCTTTAGCAACAAATAACTGGTACAATTCTAGAATAGGCTTTGGTATATCAAGGCCATGTTTCTTCCTTTCTTCTGCTTCGAATAATTCCTCCTTTGTTGTGGTATAACCAACGCCAAAGCGGAAATTTTGAAGTGGGATAGGAAGAGGTTCAAATATGCCATCCAAATTCTTGCCCAACCCACGTCTAGGCTCAAAACCGCTTCTTAGCATGGTTGTGGCAAGCATTTTATACACCGACGGCATTGGTGTTTGCGTTGTTATATCTTCAAAATCAGCATTCATTATCTCCACCATGTGAAAGTCAGTACCTTGAGATGAATCGTCAATAACGAGAACAGAGAAGCCAGGGTAACTACGATTACGCCCTTCACCATGAATGCCAATTTCATGGTCCTTCTAGATGAACTTCAAGATTTGATGCAATGTGGATGGAACTGCTCTGACCGCATGGATCCATGGTCTTCCTAGCAACATATTGTAGCTTGTGGATATACCCATCACTTGGAATTCAGTTTCAAATTCTGCAGGCCCCATTTGGATACACAAGTCTACCTCCCCCATGGTCTCTCTTTGAGAACCATAAAACGCCCTTACATTCATGCGACTTTGACAGATTTTTCCAACATCATGATTTAGCTGAGTAAGGGTTGATAACAGGCAAATATTGAGTCCTGAACCATTATCAATCAATACTCGAGCTACAAACTTGTCCCTGCATTTGACAGTGATATACAAGGCACGGTTGTGCATCATTCCCTCAATCGGTAACTCCTCTTCTCGAAAAGAGATTTGGTGACTTTGAATGACATGACTAACCATAGTTGCCAGATTATCACCACTTGTTCCCGTCGGTACATATGCTTCATCGAGTACCTTCAACAATGCTTTTCGATGGTACTTATAACTCATCAACAGAGCCCAAACAGAAATTTGAGCGGGAGTTTTCTCCAAATGCTTGACAATTGAATACTCCTTGGGCTGCATTCTTCGTCAAAACTCTTCAGCCTCACCTCCCCCTTGAGAGCATGCCAAGAGGTGTAGGGGTCGAGCAGAGGACGAGGCGCGAGCACGGAAGAAGGAGCGCCTTGAGATTGAGGCTGCAAAGAGAGCCTCACATGCTGAGGAGGAGGTGCACCAGATGAGAGCATCAGAGTTAGCGGCTGGGGCGTCTAGCTCCCGAACTGTGGAGATAGCAGGAGGCACTACTGATAGTGCGGTTGTTGCTGAGGACACCACTGAGGGTGTCCATATTGCAGAGGACGTGGGTTCTGAGGAACCGGACCCACCAGCTTGCTGATCGACGGTGCTTTGCGCCACAGGTTTTCTTCACCTACCACTCTAGTATTTAAATTTTTATGCATTGGGGACAATTGCATGTTTTTTTGGGGGGTGGGGTAAATGGAAAGTGAGTGTTAGGGTGAAGTCTGAGTAGCCCAATTCACTATCCTCTTTTGGGGTTTTGTTGGCTGTGTTCTTTTTCCCCAAAAGACTGATTACTTTTTCTGTTTAACCGGCATGTTTATATCTTTCGTACATAGATTAATTCTGGAGCATGATGGCTAAAATGATATCCTGATAAATTGGAAAATGATGCATGACTAGGTATAGTAACTGATAAATGTGTGGCTCTAAGCATGACATAGAGGTACACCATTGACTTACCCTAAGTCTAAAATTCGAATTAGGTGTCTGATAATCTGGTAGAGTGATGAGATGTCAAGTGAGTGTGAGGAAGATTTGAATAGTCCACTATTTGTATTGAGCTAGAATTTGTCTGATTAGTCCTGCTAAAAGTAAGCTATAATAGACAATTAGGAAAGATCATAGGCCCTTATTCAATATAGCCCATTTTTAGCCTAAATAGAAGAAAACCAAATGAAATTTATCCTTCTTTGATCCAAATGATCTGAGCTTAAATTAGACCTTTCTTTTTCACCCCAACTGATCTTTTCTGGGAATAATGTGTTGGTCATGGTCTCTCCTTGGACATGTGCACCTCAGCTTATGCCAAAAGCATAAGTTGAGGGTGGCTAATGAAGTAAACAACCTTCGTTATGACCCTGACCCAACTTTGGATATCGTGTACCTTGACTCATGGCAAAGCCATGAGTTGAGGGTGGCTATTATGAGGAATGCTCTGGAAAGTGGGGTTGAAAGAACAAAGAGAAAAAAATAACAAAAGTAAAGTGACTCAAGAATTAAGTGAAACAAAAGTAAAGAAAAAGAAGTATATACAAGAAATGCAATCAAGAAAAGAAGATAGTCACTTACACAAATGAAGAAAGAAGAGAAAATAGCAAGGTAAAAGAATATGAGAAACTGGGCGAGATAGAATGATAGAAAGTGGAAGGTTTAGACGATATGTAAAGGAGGGCAAAAAGACACTAAAGTATACCTAAATATACCCTACCTGACCCTGTGCCTATGTTACAAGCTAAGAAAGTCCTATCGTGATCCTAAGGGTTGTATAGCAAACTTAAGGCAGTGAAAATAAGGGCAAGCTTATGGCAATAGGTATGAATGAGAGTGACTTTGTTCTGAGAGCGAGTGTTAAAAAGTAATCCGTATACTCAAATTGAAATCATTGTGTGAAAAATGATGATTTTGTTTTAAAGTGAGGACACTAGTTGCAATACCGGAATTGTTAGCACCTTAGTTAAAATTGAAGAGGATAGGTGTTAGTGCATGGTGAAACTGTGTCATGTTCTGATCCCACATAATTCAAGCC